GCCTCTAAAACCCTTGCAGCACTGGATGTGACTCTAAATAAGAGAAATAAAAATATGTATATTGTAAAAGCCTCGATATTTTATCTAATAACCTTATCATAATTCATAATAAACTTTAAACAATATGATATTAAATAAAATCTAATTTTTACTTACTTGAATAGCGATATGCGCGTAAGCAAATGTAACAATAAATGCATAAATAAATTCATAAACATACTCGTACCACATACCAGCACATCACATACACTTACACATACAAGTAAAATCGCATTAAATCGGCATTTCAGGCTGGCCGCGCCACACCCGCTTGCGAGCTTAACACCGGGCTTAAACATTTGCCGCATTCCAATTAGAAAATATACGATACCCCATTTAAATTTATGGCCATTCAAATGTCTACGCTGGCAATGCTCCACACAATCAGTTGTGTCCGTACATATACATATATGTATGTACGTTCGTAAATCGCAGAAAATATTCGGTGGACATACAGAAAAAAAAAATTAAAAACAAATAGGCGATCAGCGATCGCAATTTTGAACTGAAACGCTGGCCATACACTGTACTGAGCCCAAAAGTCAGTCTTACATAGTCTCTCACCACCATGCCCAAATGAGAATACATGCATGCATACATACATATACATGTACATTAATGATCATGCATACACCCATCCATACCCAGTAGAAATCTTAAGCATACAACATCGCTATTGGTGGCATGAGCTTGCTGCTGTGTATACATGCCAGTATAAATGAACCTTCATTTCCATTTAACACGCGTGGTTTCTCAGAGCGTATGCGTACCTTAATCATGCACTTGTACTACTGCTGTATGCATATGGCTGTATTAATGTTTCAAACATACAAAAATGCATTAATGGAACAGTATTAAAGCATTCTTACAAGATCTCTATATGTAAATGCTACTTTTCTGATACATTTTAATATACGGGGACATACAAACAAGTAGCACTTACATATGCAAATGCATATCTTGTAGAAGCCCGTTTGTGCTGAAAATAGTATCGCACAACACGTCCGTTCACTAAAATTTTTGTACAAGACTGAAAATATTGCAAAAATTCCACTTCAAATTTATCAAGAAATGTACTTAAAACAACGACAACGTACATTCGCTTGCAATTCGCTAGAATTTGAATTTATTCGTGGAAATTCCTGACTACGCATGAATTGTTCACACTAATTCACTCATTTAGCAAGTATCCTTCAAGAATGCATACAACCGATTTCTACTGGGTAGGTACATACAAATGTATGTACATACATACATATGTGGATACGGCCAGACCAATATACATACATACATATCTACATATGTAGAAATTATCAACAAAATAGCGCATTCCAATCTAAAATCACGCTTTCAATAAACCAACACCAAGTAACGAGTATCTCAGCGCTGGTAGCTGGTATTTGGGAGCAGCAGCAGCAGCAGGTACCCCAAGAAATAGTCGTACCAACACATAAGCGCCCAAAAGCACCCTGCAGCAAAATTTAGGGACAGTCTGGCAAGGCGCTAGTTCCGCCCTACAAATTTCAGAGCTGTCTCTGAACTACTGAAAAAGGGATGCAGAGTTGGACGGTTGAAACTCATATGTTGCTAGTTGCGCTGTCATCAATGTTACTCATCCTGGTCATGTGAAAGCTGACAAAAGATGCACAAATGTAATATACTATATTTTTTCGATTTTCTTAGACCCTAAAAGTAATAACAAACTGTTTTCGTTTATTTAATATGTAATTCTCTACATAGTTTATGGGGCAACTGCTCAAATATTTCCAAAAAAGTCGTTATTGGTACATTAATGTCATTTTTATACATATCTACGTACGTATGTATAAAATACGAATAAAATCATATAAACCGAGTTTTAAAACTTTATACAAAACAAAGTTAAATTTAACGATTTTTCGTCAAAATGTTTGACCTTTTAATCACTTTGAAATGGGAGTGCTATTCATATGAACGATAATGTACATACGTAAATGTATCACTAAGCCCCCGAAATGTGTAGTTATGCATTGATTTTTTTTTAATTTACAATGTTCTTCATTTTCAATATTTTTCGTTTAGTTTTTATTTAAGTACTATGTCTCATACTCCATAAACCATTTAAATTCAAATTCCTAACTGTGCTGCAAACTTATAGAACTCTAAAAACTGTCTTCAAAATTTCAAATCTTTAATCAGATATTTTTTATAAATATTTCGAGTATTCTGTTTTGTAGCCCATACAATTTTAGTGTAGTAAAGTGTAATCTTGCATCTTAAACGAAAATATTTAAATAGGAGAATGCCTTCAAGAGCGTGCGTAAAAAGAGTTATAAAAAATCAGCGCGATTAATTATACTAAAATTGAATGGGCTATAGAACTGCATACTTATAAACTCTGATTTAAAATATTGAAGTTTTTATAACAGTTTCTAGAATTCTACTAAATTTCCAACACAGTTAGAAACGTGAATTTATTTGTTTATGTTATAATACTTATGAGCCATCCTTAAATAAAAAATTTACGAAAAATATTTAGCATGAAAACTATTGTGAATATTAAAAATTCTATATTTCTTATGAGATGCCGGAAAGTCTATGTATTTCATTTCAATAAATTTAATGCAATTTAACGCTGAGTTATCACAAATAATCATTCAATATATCACCGTTTTTCTCATTTTTTGACACGACTTAGTTCAGATTTTTCATTATAGGGATCCCAGAAATACCCATTATACGTAAAAAATATAAATCTTTTTTAAGAATAACGGTTTTAGAAAATAAAAGAATAATTGACACTTTATGTTCCTAAATTTAAAGCACAGTTTGCGTCAAAAAGTAAATTAGTTCAAAACAAATAGCTCTTGAAACATATAATGAAGTATTTTTATTTACAAAATTGTTTGCGTGCTTATTTAAAGAAAAGGCTCCATACCATACTTATTAGAACCAGCTCAAAACTAACCACATTTTTTCTAGCCCGGAGGTGACCCTTTTTGAACTATCTAAGAACTGTTGTTATATGAACTGTATCAGAACCATCTAAGCCAGAGTCAGCTCAGAACAAGTTCAAAAGTTCTGCAGAGGGCGACAATTGTCACTTCGTAGGACATCGCCATGTTAAAAAAGACAGTTGCAAGCATTGAGTTGGGATAGATGAAGAACCAGTACCGTCCCTTTTCAGGCTAGCTCAGCGCAAGTTCTTAACCAGTTTGATTTGCTGCAGGGCAGCTCGCCGATACTTCTCATTGCTTCACACACAAACACACATATGTATACTATATACATACCCGAGCGTACCCAGCTACAGTCCATGGCCATGGAGCTGTGAACGTTGCTAAAAACTTAGGAACTCTACTATTAACTGGTAATAAACAGGAGTAAAGTTGAGTCTCAATTTTAACGAGGCGTCAATTTCTTAACCCTTTCAAGATCATGACATTAATTAAGAGAATGCTAAAAATTTGGAAGACCCAAAGATTCGCATTTTTTATCAAAGATGTGATTAGCTTTCCTTCGGAGTCGGGTCAACCATCAAGTCCAACGTCTACTACACTCAATTTGTAATCTAATAAATCTGCCACAACCTTTGGCCTTTCCTAAATGCCTGCAAGGGAACAACTTTGTAGTGAAAGAAGAAGAAAATGCAAGTTCATTCATATTAACACAGATCACTTACAATTCGAGGAGTGCGAAATGGGTTTTCAAGGTGGTTCGAAGGTGTTTCAAAATTGAAGTCAGAGGTATCAGTCTGTATTCATATGATGCCTCACTGACTCCGGATCAGTGGGTATTGGTGACATTGCCATGCAATGAGGCGCTACCATGCACCCCGATTTTATTTCTCTTGGGTTTTCTCTTAGAATTCTATGTCATACCGAGCATATATTGCGGGATCTGAGGCACTTTCGCCTAATATGGGGTGTAGTCATCTTCTAACTAGACATGTAGGCTTGTTCATATAGTTTTTGGGGCATAGAGCGCCCCGAAGGTAAAATTCGCGATGATGAGGAAGAAGGAAAAACCGCTGATGTTTCATCAATTTTATAGCTTGGTTACTGTAGTATAGTTGACAGGGGATAAGCTACCAGTGGTAATTAAGAGGACGCGTGTGGGTGATTGAGCCTCGCTTGTCGCATCTGGTCATCGATGAGATCATGGCTGACTCAGATGGCCATCTCCCCAGCTTTAGCCAGATGCAGGGAATCAGATGTATAGATCAAAACCAATTATTCAATAAAAGCTTGGGTATCGTTCGTGATGCCCAAGCATATAGTTCCTGTAAGCACCAATGTCCGATAGACCAACAGTTCGCAAGTGGATCTACGCATTAAAATTGACATCGGGAAGCTAAAAAAATATCTTCGCAATTAACAGTCACAAATTAACAATCTGTCCTGCCTGCGAGAAGATCATCTAAGTAGTTTTCTGCTGCGCATTGGCATTGTGCGAACGCCGCGGACGATGAAGAATTTGAGAAGGCAAGCTGCACACCGACTAAACAAAATTATTGCCCAAATAACCTACCAGCAGTCGGAGCTGGAACCTAACAATCTGTCTGAATTTCGGATGGAACCTTGCACATAGAACACCAAGACCAACGGAGGGTTCCGGCATACACAAAAGTTTTCCAAAAATAATTGGATACGATTGGTTTCATAATTAAAGAAAATACTAATGCTTCTTCAGGAAGCTATAAATTTGTGTGAATATAAGGAAGTTCTGAGAAAATATTTTACTCGAAGATCATCTTTTGTTTACCAGTTTGTAGATAAAATCTGGTTACTAAAATTAATCATCGACCATAATTCCATGGCGAGGTGCTGTACATTCACACATTCATACTTATGTACATACATAGGTAATCTGGATAGCAGAAACAGGTATACACTTACGCTGATCTCCTTTAAATGTATGTGTTTGGCAGAGACTCAGGAATCCTATGGTCCGGCAGAGAAAAATTGTGGTTTTCGCGGTGCGCTTGGTTTAGTTCGGTTTACGGTGCTGAGCGAAACGGTCAAGATTTCGAAAGGTTTGAATTTAGTACTATAATAACATTGCTGTAAATATAAAAAGAAACGCAACACAACAGATATGTAACACTTAATATATCCAAATGAATGAAAATCAGTCAGTGGCCACAGATATCGTAGGGAAAACAAAAACGACAAAGTGAAATACAACGAAATATGATGCAAATATGTAAATGAATTACAGTAAAGCAAACGTAATTGAAAAAAGTAGCTAAACTGTTCATACCTACTGATTTGGGCAAAATAGTGAGCTGAAATATTTGCGTCGAAAGAAAGTATGTTTTCATATTACCAGTAGCAAAATATGTACATAGTATGTGTATGATTATTTTTAGTAAAATGTGAAAATTCTGAAACTAGTGAAAAGTGATCGCTTAGCATTTACGGCTGTATAGCAGTGTATATTTATGTAAATCAAAGTAAAATATGTTTCGAGAACGAGTTTTTGAAAAATGTGTGTACAAGTTCGGCATCCATACAAACACATATACATACTTAGATACATGTGTACATTTAGAGAACGAACGAAGTTATGAGGTGATTGCTGAGCAAAGTACGCTTACTAATCGCTCAAGAATGTGGCACATTAATACTTTACAATACTCGGTAGCGAAAAAAACAGCCGAGTGAATAAAAAAAAAACGAGGAAAAAAACTTAATGGCTCCGTAGTGGTATTCTGCAATATCGGTGACCACATGAAAAATGTGTTACTACTCTCTAACACTGAACGAGATTAATTTTGATAATATAATACATACCTATAGAGAATTTGTTGTTATTTTGCAATAATCTACCGCATAGTACTTAATTCAAAAAAGTAAATACATAATCCCTATGTATGTACATATATACATAGTTACATGTATGCATACACATATTTAACTAACCATTTAGTATGGTACATATCCCTGCGGAAAAAAAATTATCAATTGATAAAAAAAATATGTAACCCACTTTTAGTTTGATTTTTTTACGGCATTTTTATAAATACTTCACCTTTAATTGGCTATGACGAACTAATTTAAAGTGAGTTGTACAGTCATGCAGGAGTCATGCCGATGTTATCGGGACTTTTAATACACGTTTTCACTTGCGTTGTTGCACTTCACTGATGATTTTTCGAATTCAGGACAAATAAATTTAATTTCGAAATTTTATATTATCATTTTGATGTTTTGTCTGACGGAATTCCAATATGGGACCAACTACAGCAGACCATATAAATAAATAAACAAGCATGTACTGTTAAATAAAGTAACTAAACGTGTAAAAATAACATACGCGACAATTTTTTCACAATTTTCTTTTTGATGCAGAAATGCATCTAGATGCTCTAGGAATATTTCTGCATCAAAACCGAAATTTTGAAAAATACGTCGATTACGTTATTAAGTTAGCTACAAACTAGCCCAATTTCCTGCAGGTATATTCATACATACATATGTACATATGTATGTACGATTATTTTTTCATGAATATCCACTGATTAGTTTCGATTGTTCGGTTCTGGTTAGAAACCACTGCCGACCCTGTCGAATGTGGCAATGGAGAAAGAAATCTAATGGAGTATAGTATGTAGGTATAGCAGGGATGTTGCGAATATTTGTATTCGCAATCGTTATGCGAATAATTGGCATCATCTTACACATTCGCTTCGACATTCGCCTTCGCATCAAATGATACGAATATTTTGCGAATGCCAATATGTACATGGGCAGAGCGCGCAGTTAACGACCACTAAGCACACAATCGCATATTTTAAAGGTTCTTCCAATTTAATGTTTAGTTTTTTTACAGGCAAAACAACTCTTGGAATCTGCTGCATGTTGTGGAAAATAGAAATATGTAGCTCTAATTGGGCGCCCTCAAATGTGTTCGCATTTTTTTTATGATTGCAATTTATTCTCTTCTTTCGATGATCTGTAAAATATTTCAGTGCTATTCATATTTTACGTAGTTGTATTAATAGTTACATATCTTAGTTAATTTTTGTACTTTACTCGTCGAAAGTGAGGAATTTTTCAGTGCAGCCGGCCTTATATAAGAGCCCCTAAGAAATCGCCTCACGGAAGAAAAGGCAGCAAAATACTTTTTCTGAAATGTAATATGCCCCTTTTGAACTTTGACTACTAGATTAAAATACTGTATAGATAAAGCACTGGTTAAATGTTCCAATAACACGGTTCAACAAAATTTGGTCGTATTTTATCTCTGAACCGGGGCCGACCTCATCTTTTTTAATTTGAAGTACATTTACAACATTTTTCTAGCGTGTCCAGTTTTCGAGAAAAAAAAAACAGTTGAAGTGTCTAAAAATGGTAAAAATGGCAAATTAAAAAAAAAAAATAAATAGAATTTGGACATAGTTTTTCCGAAGAAAAAAATCACGTATTAATGAAAAGTCAATTCGTCTGATTAATTCTACCTCATGTCGATAAGTTCATTAGAAATGAGTGACAAAATTAAAAAAAAAAATACAGTTCGCCCATTTTCCCAAAATGTATGATATTCTTATGTTTAGTCTAAAACTTATTGTAAATATCAGTTTTGAGTGAATAATCTTCAGTAGTTACTAAAATATCGCAGTTTTCGTATTTCTAAAAATTACCCTTCTATGGGAGGTAGGCGTGGTTATTGTCCGATTTTGCCCACCGTCCTACGCCCGAAAGAAGTGCACGTACCAAGTTTGGTTAAGATATCTCAATTTTTACTCGAATTATCGTGTGCACAGACGGACGGACGGACGGACGGACAGACAGTCACCGCTCAATCGATTTCTCGTTTCATTCTGATCATTTATATATACAATTGTCTATATCTATCTCGATTCGTTTTGCCTGTTACAAACAACCGTTATGTGAACAAAGTTATAATACCCTTGTGCACAAGTGCGCTCGGGTATAAAAACCAATATCCCAGATTCATCAGTAGCCAGTCTTTTGTCTCTTAACACTTTCCTCAAACTCAATAGTCAGCAAGCATATGGAGGTTTGATTTCCTATCATACCACTTCTCCATAGTGGTTATGTCCTGGTGGAATCGTTCGTCATGTTCTTCGCTAGTGTTTTTTTTTACTAAGTTTTTTGTTTTTTTAATTTGTCACTCCTTTCTACTTAATCCATCGACATGAAGTAGAATCCATCAGAAGAAATGGATTTTCATTGATACGTGGTTTTTGTTCGGAAAAACTACGCCCAAATTATATTTTAAAATTTTTATTTTGAAATTTGCCATTTTTGCCATTTTTACAGTTTTTTTTCAAAAACCGGACATGCTAGAAAAATTTTGTAAATGCACTTCAAATCAGCATCAAACAATTTATAAAATGAGGTCGGCCCCGATTTTTCGATAAAATGCGATCAAATTTTGTTGAACCGTGTAATTTATAAAACGATGACTTATGTAAGTCGATTATAGCAATTTAATGTCATTCCTAACATTCGCATGCGCATTTTCATTCGCGAATGTGAAAAATATGACATTGGAAACATCCCTAATGTATAATATTAAAACAATCCACGTTACGTTCCCCAAACATGCAGCGCCAAAGGCCCATGTACTCACACACGCGCACATACTAACTCACATGCCATCTAAGCACTGTTTCCAAGTAGATATTCTTTAATGAAGGGGGAAGGCGGCTTTAAATATGCGCGCACACAGGTGAAAATTTTGGGTGTAAGGGGGTTCCAGGCCGAAATGTGAGTGCGCACAACTACATATGTATGTATATACAAACTACATACATACATACTCGTACAATGAAGGCGAAGGCGACGACAACGACGCCAGAAATCGCGCGCTACACCACACGATCGGTCCGCCAGCTCTGCTCCAAGTATGGAGCCGCCGCGATTCTCCCGTTTCTCGTTTTTCTTATACGAGTGCTGGTTTTTAAACGCGGCTCCACGTCTATGTATGTAGCTGTGTGTATGGGCTTTGGAATGTCTTTTTGTGTGTCTGTGTGCGAGTGGGGGCCGCCGTCGCTTCTCGTACTATGGCCGTGTTCGTGTAAATTGTCCACGAAGCAGCTAAAAGTCGACAACAGCCAAGAAGAAGAAGGCAGAGCGCAATACATACACAACAAAAAATTGCATTAAATTCTTTCGTGCAACAACAAATCGTGTGCGAAGTAAGAGAACAACAACAAAAACAATAACAATGAAAACAACAAAAGAGAAAATGTAAAAAGACCAAACTGAGCGCAGCAATGGCAACAGGCAGCAGCGAGTAGGCAACGAAAAATTGGAGTCACAGTGAAAAGACAAAAATATGCGATCACGCATACAAGCAAACCGTGTTTTGTGTGTGTGTGTGTGTGTGTATACAGCCTACTCTTGATAATTTGCCCTGAAGTAGCGCAATCTATGAAAAAAACTAAAGTAAATAGCACTATCAACGCCACCACTGACACAGCCAGCGATTCAGCCTCAAAACAGAAAAATAAACCACATCACTGTCAACAACAACAATAAGGCTGGCAAATTTTTGATTAAAAATTTCAACGTCAACGACAACGACAACTTTACTGTCTGTTAGCTGCTACTCAGTGATATTTTGTACATTTTGCTTTGCTGAATTTTCTAGCTGACTTTTGTGATTGGCATTCGTGTTTTATGTGTTTGAGTGTGTGTGTGTGTGTTTTTATCTATGTATCTGGTACAATTGGTGATGCTTTTGCTGAAGTTGCCTCAATTACAATTTTTTAACTGAGTTCATTGAAAGATAAACGCTGCGAAATTAAGTTAAAAAAATTTTACAATTCTGTCATCGGAAAGTTTAAGCAACACTTTATATTACACACATTTAGAGCCGTTTTCTCAAGTGGCCTTTAATCAATTTCTTGAGAACAAGATTTGTGTTTAAAAGGCAGATAAATATTAAACCCTGCTTGAGAAAACGGCCCTTAAAAAAATAAAAAAACAAAAAAAAACTCTTATATAAGTTGAAATAAAAATTAATAAACTTGTTATGTCGACTGGCTTTTTGTAAAAGTACTTTCAACGTTTATTACTTCTTGTGTGGTGTGCTACGAAAAAATTATTTCTAAATACATATATGTACATACATACATACATACATACATACATGGTGATAATATTTACTTGCATACATACATATATACATACATACATATGTACAATTGTAAGCGATAACCAAAAAAAACGAACTGTAAATTTATAAAAAAAGTAAAGAAGATGCGCTCAATAATTGTAAATTACTTTCAAGTACAGCTATGTACAATTTTCAACACATGCATACATACATATGTAT